CAACTATTGCGTGAACTTCTCCAGACCGTAAATCCGGGAAAAAGTTGTGTAGTGTATTCCAGCCTTTAGAGTGACATTGCATGCTGCTTTGAACATCTAAGATCAGATTTTGCAATGATGATGATGCGGTGTTTTCCTACGTCATTTGTAATTGTTGGGAAGTTCAACCAATAGAAACTGGATCTCAGGTATGATGGATGGGACCATGACTAAAGACCAACCGGGGACTGCTTTAGAGCAGGAGCGCGCTTGGATTTGATTGATCGCTTATATTGACAGCTCTTACGTTCACAACAGAATAGAAGCGCTACACTGGAAGATCAGCGCTCATCCACCAGGATCTTATTACTACTTACTTTTTTTTTTCTTTTACTTGTTCGCAAATGCAAGTTGTTTGTATGTTCATGTATTTGAGCAATTATTGTAATGTATGCAGGATTTTTCTTCGTTCCTCATTTGAATGGGTGGGCTAGCCTTCAATCTGAGTGGGCCAGTGCCACCTTGGCCCTTATGTAGCCTTGCCACTGCATTACACCCAAAACACACCCATTACTCATTAAGAGATTAGGGACAACCCTTTTAGACCATGCGCTGGGCGCGCCGACCATTTTTCCCATCCTTAAACTAGCAAAAGTGGATTCGGACATGCCCTAAGCACAATTTAGGGCGCTTAGATCGTTAAAATAGGGCCCGGTGTGTTTGTTCGTTCAAGTGCAATAAGACATGAAAGAGTTTGAAAGATGTTAATCAGTTCGGTGTTTGTGCACTGTCTGAGATGCGGCTCTCTCCGTGCACACCGAACACAGCGCACAAGCACTCAGTTGAGTTTTGTCACGTCTCTTGCTTGAACGCTTTAAAATCTCTTGAATGTTTAATTTGGCAAGGCTTAAACCTTGGGTGGTGTTCATATTTTTGTTAATCAGCCAGTGTTCGTGGGTCTGGTGGACCGGCTGCATTTTTGGGTTTTTAATTCAACACAATCAAAAATTTTATGTTAAAATACTCAACAGATGTTTACTTCATCCCAATTACAAGCAATTTAATCAGCATATATGGTTAATATGTGCCCTTTACCTTTGTTAGATTACATTTATGAGTTAAAGTGCTACAACCTTGTGCGGGGGATGGCAGGGGCAGAAACACAAAACTCACACCTACACTCACACTCTCACAAACTCTCTCTCTCTCTCACACACACACACACACACACACACACACACACACACACACACACACACACACACACACACTCACCAATAGCAGGTCCAGACAGGAGGAGGACAGAGTGAAGGTACACAGGACCTACAAATTCCACTCTTTTATTTTATTTTATTTTTTTATTTTATTATCCAGTGGACCCGAACATCCTGTATGTAATATAAGTGTGTAGGGGGGGTGTACAGTGTGTGGTCATTGAACATTTGTTCTGATATATGTTCTTCACAGAAAATGAGCCAAGGGCAGTGAGTCTGCGTTTTAAAAAATAATTAATCATATAATTTTTCTTTTGATAAAAAAATGAAACCGGGTTCCACGTATACCCGAACACCATACAAGGTGTGGGCCTTGGGCCCCTATAATCGTCATCACCTTTCACCCCACTAGTGACGGCCCTGAATGGACACCAAATGTTTCTGCAGTTCCATAGACTGATGATATTTTTTATATTGTTAGCCAAACTTTACATTAGTTTCTGTGTGGACCAAGTTGCTGAATCCAAAATAGTAATTTGATTATTGATTGTAAACATGAGCACTCACATGCCAATATATTAATTCGGTAACACTTTAGAATAGGGAACACATTCACTATTAACTACAAATTTTCCCTCAATAAATTCCTAATTTGCTGCTTATTAATAGTTAGTAAGGTAGTTGTTAAGTTTAGACATTGGATAGGTTCCCTTTCATGGGAACTTCGAACTGCGTCCTCTAGGGGTCGCTATGGGGAACGCCTCGTCGT